ATGAATAAGAGTGATCTCTAATTGTGGTAATAATCTCTTGTGCTTCTCAATCGAACGCATATTTCTCCCTTTTTTATGAGGAACTGAAGGGAGAATAGGCAAGAGAGCGAGAGAAGAGTTGCGCTTGTCTGATCGCCAGCGAGAGTCGGAGGGGTTGATGCGGTCCACTGGAAAGAGTGGTTCACCTCGTTGCAACCGAGCGCGCCCATCATCAACACCATGGACCATCGACGAGCCCACCTCTCCTCCCCTGTATGAACGCCATCCCCCGTTCGCCGACCTCTCTCGCCCTCGCTCGCGGGAACTTCAGTTTCGTGCACGAAACCGCCTGGTCGACGGCGGTTTACCCGATGTCACTCCGCACTCGGCTCAGTCGTCACGAGGCGTCGCGATGCACCGATTCTTTGGACGCAAATGCGTCACCTTCGTCGTACGTTATCACGGATACACACAGATCGAGATACTCCTCGTCCGATCCGACGATCGCGCGATGCGATCCACGAATACGCGCGCGCCGGTCTCTTTAACTCTCGTCAGCGCATCTCCGCGCGAGATTGCGCGATGCACCTGATGCATCGCGCTCGCGAGAAACGTGTGTGTACGTACGCAATCGTAAATCGTATCGTAAACCGAGTTTACTTTGACTCACGGTATAAATTACGAGCGGCACCGTCGGAAGGTTCAGTATCGGAAGAGCGGAATTGAATATTCCAAGTAATACCAGAAGCTACGGAAGCGAGCCAACCTGTGTCGTATTTTGCCTGCGATCGATCAGTGAAGAAAGATATGGAAATTTAATAAACACTCCGTGTTGGCGAGAGTCAAGGCTGACCGGTTTTGTTTAATCTGGCGATTGGTCCACGTGCTATATTCGGCTTTAATTATTCTCTGGTGTTCATAAAAGCGTTCTTCCATGGCGTACTTTCATCTCGAACAACAATGAGATAATCAGCAAATATAAGTTGTACGAATTGTTTGCATTATTGCAGAAAAGCTACAAATTCGAGTGAAAATATCGTAAATGTGAAGTAATATTTTTGCGTTTTTGATAAAAATTTATTACATCGTGTTTAATTTGATTTGCATCGAATTTATCGAAACTAGACGCTTTTTCGCTCCTGTTACATCCAGCCAGTGGAATACTCCTCACCCGCATATTTCAGTCGATTATTTCGAAAAATGCACGCGTTAAAAAAAAGCAAGAAAACATGAAACAGAGTTCTGCACATGGGATATATAAATCATTTTTATAGCCAACATTTTCGCACAGATGTTCATATTATTTATTACGAGAATTGCCATCGCGTTCTAACAGCGTAGTTCTACGTATAACTACTTATCGTTTTATATATCGACTTATGTGTTATACTCAGGAGAAAATTGTAACTTTCTCAAAATAATCGATATTCTTCTTTAAACATGAAAAAGAAATAAAGGACATCGCACGCAGTCTGTTTTACGGAATTAAACTCGCTCAATTGCAGTTACTTTGGCAACAATTCAAGACGTTCGGCAAATATTTTCGTTGTACTAATTCATTCCGACCGGTTTATCTCGACAGTCTGCTCAGTTTATCTCGTTGCTAAAATAAGTATGGATCTCTTTCAAACAACTCCGCGAGATTATCTGCACCATATATTTCCCTCTTGCTCTGTGGTGGTGGTGGTACTTCAATTTCCTCTCTTTTTAAAGTCATCGAGCTTTTTCTGTTGTGCGTGTTCTATTTTGCAATTAAAATGTTGAAAACACTGCAGCAATACATTAAAGTTCATCCACCTTTTGTTTTATTAATATTTTATTGCTCGAGCTTGGTGAAAGCAGAATTAATAACACTGCGTGACAAGTGAAAATTTTATATATCATATCAATATAAGCTTATGTTAAAGTATTAAAATGCCACGGAATACATTTCGACAGAATAAGCAACGTTCGCTTTAATTTAAGTTGGCTCGCGCGTAACTCGAAGATTTCAAAGTGGAAGAGAGAATCTCGTAATTGTTGTTGTAGAGCCCAGAGCACGGCGGCGCCGTCCAGGAGGAAAGGGATACCAAAGCCCGAAGGCAGACTGTCAAGAGTCATACATCGTCGTCTTCCGGCGTCAGTCCTGGAACGCCGACGGCCTCCTTTCGCCATAAACCACCGCCGGTTTCGCCCGCGAGATCCATCACGCCGGAAGTAATACAGGTCGGTTTTCTTATATACGTTATATATACCTTCTCAATTCGAATTTTGCACTCTCGAGTGTTCACGTGCATAATAACGATATCTGAATAACAGTAATTAACAGTGCTTATCGTCGTGTGCGTACGTACGTGTTAAATAAGATTATTCGTGATGGTTCTATTCATAAAAATTTTATAAAAGTTTTATCAAACATTTCTGGATTCAGCAAACGTCAAAAAGTCTCACAATGAATTAAATTGTCGAAGCTTCAATGAAATGTTTGACAGATGATTATCTTGTCGCGCATTGGATACCTACATGAGTATCGTAGAATTGACTATAGCAATTTATATGATCGTTCATGACAATCAATTAAAAAAATTGCGATGCGCGATGTTTTCCCTCAGCCTTCTGCATAAGGGACAAACACAATTGCTGCATTAATTGGCAAAATGGCGCGAGAGAAGTGCCGCGCGTCGCAAGGCTTGGAGTTCCGCGCTAATTAATTTCTTTAATTGAATCGCCGACTACAGTTTTTTCGCGACGGTAAAGTGTATTTCTGCCCTAATTAAATGAATGCAGACTTCACCGTTACGAGGATAATCGTACCTACTCGCTGCACGTGTGAATTTTAAGCCCGGCCTACAACAATCAATTCGCATCTTTATTCGCCAACATTTATTTTGCATAAATAGTTTATGCCTTTCGACATTTGCATCCAGACGGTTTCTTCACGATCACGCAGTTATAATTTTACTAAGCACATCATCCACGCGAGAATATCTCCACACAATAAATCTCACTTTTATTGATGTAGTTTATAACGACACATGGATGATATTTTATTGATATAAAAAGAGATTTTAATGATCCACTTCTGAAAATGTCAATTTATTTGTTGCGTAGCCAGGACTCGGGGACGGCGTTTCACGCGGAGATACTCACAGGCAAAGCTCGAAAAGTTCGGATGGCTCGGCTTCTGGTTCCCGAAGGTATAATTATAGAGAGAAATTGTGAACTTCATTTTCATTCTCTCTCAATTTCACCTAAGCTCTTTAGGAAATTATCACAATTATACACAAGTACATTATAAAGAACTTAGAAGTTTGTATAATAGACACGAATATTCGTTAAAAAATGCGCATTTTTTTCCTATCGCTTATCTCTCATCCGCAAGTGTTCCGCGCGATACGAGAGGTCGGCATCAGAATGCCTTGATTTTTCCTGACTCAAAAGCGCGCATTGTCTCTCAGATCCTCCATGAAGAAGTCAATTCGGAAAACAGCCCCGTCGCCACCCGTGAATCCGGGTATCCTTCGCGAGGTCAGCGAGGAACGGGAGGATCACGCGTCCTCCGCCGTCGCGCAGCCTGCCTCGAAGCCCAAGTATTCCTCGGACGAGAGCTCAGACGAGGAAGACACGCGTATGCTAGAGGGAAATGTCTACACAAAGAGCGGCATCGAGGTAACCGAGCGAAAGTCGATGCTTCCGCGACTCTCTCTCTCTCGCGCTACGATATAACACGCTGTAAAAATCACTTGCCTAGATCTCGCGGAAAAGCGCCGGAAACGTGAAACGCACGAAGTCGGAGATCGAAGCGGATCCGGAGCAAGAGGACGAGTTCGGCTACACGATCAGTGAGTTACACGACGACTGCTAAATGTAGACCGCGGTTCAGAAACAATTGGGAATTGCAGATATTTATATGCTATTTACGTCACAGAAGAGATCGATATTCATTCCATATGATCGCTCCGTCACGTTTGGCAGCCTCTAATAGAGAAATACAATTTTATTATCTCTCCAATCAATCAATCGATCCCATGATCGATCTGAAAGATGACTGATTATGTCACTAAAAAAGCACATGCGTAAAATCCAACGTGTGCGCATCGGATGGTACACGTTGGCCGACTGATCTCTACAACGCAAAATGTCCTTTTATTTTGCAGTGAAAATACAGAAGAAATACCAGAATCTCGGGCATAAGGTCGTGATGGTCACCCTCGAGAAGGACAGGAGGGGATTGGGCATCTCTCTGGCGGGACATAAGGACAGAAACCGAATGGCGGTGTTCGTCTGCGGTCTCAATCCGAAGGGTGCAGCTTACAAGAACGGCGGGCTTCTCATCGGCGACGAGATATTGGAGGTGAGTATTTTACTCTTCTCTCCTCTCTCTCTTCCCGCGTTTTTACGACGTGCCATTTACGACCGCGGTTCCCCACGTCGTCAGGTTGTTTAACCTTCGTTTCACGCGCCGTCTATAATCCGTTTAACTCGCCCGTCGCGACGTTGCGCGCTGCGGGTTTTCTCGAGAAAATAACAGCACAGGATGCTTTCGCCTAGAATGTGTATTCGCTAAGCCGAAAAACAACGAATGTATCTCTATTACGCTTAATATGATAGATGAAGAGAAAAAATTCTTTAATCCAAATTTTGCGAGAGGACTTTGACATTTATAATTAAAGTAATGTATACTTAGAGTTTCAAGTATGTGTAACGTAGAAATTATGTGATACTTTGACAGTCAGTCTGTAAGTCAAGAAAATATTAGAAAAATGAAATCATATACGAATGTGCGCGCAAGCATTTATTTCATTTTTATTAAAATTATTTTTTTATCTTTATATCGCACATCCGGATAATTAAAAAAATTTGCATTTATGTGTTAGCTGGAATGTCACAAGTCGCGTTTTGTTACGTGTTTCATTTCGTTATGTAACATGGTAAACATTGAAAACGAATAAAATATTATTTTCTGTTCCACTTAGATAAACGGCTGCGCATTGCAAGGACGATGTCATCTGAACGCTTCCGCGCTTATCAAAGGCATGCCCGGTACTCTCTTCAAAATCATCGTTTATCGGTGAGATACCAGAGCTTTTTCCGCAATGTAGCGTGACGTAGAGACGACATGTATAACAAAATTCATTAAAACTATAAACGGATTTCCCCTGTCCCGGTTGCAGACGATCGAAGGCTGTCGACGACATCGCCGTAAAGCCGATAGTCCAATTTCCACCAACCTTGGATGACGTAAGTCAATTCGCGGCGTCTACCGTTTTTTATTTTCATCGTGCAAAACCGGCTGTAGTACTCATAAAACAATAAATCGAACGCAACGAAAAGCAATTGAGCGTTGCATAATACATTCGATGCGTTGCAATTAATTGAACAGCAATTGCGAGGAAAAGAAATGTTGCATAATTATTTTAATGAAAACATGAATAACCGATAATAAACTTTGCCGATATGAATAACAATGTTAGATAATATTATCGGAAAAAAGATAAAATACTGAGAGATCTATTCACAGCACACACCCACATCGATGTATATATATTTAAATCATACAGAATGTCGAGATCATGCGATAAACTCATTTCTTGCGAAAAAACATGTAACATAAGTATCTAATAAGTTTGAAATTAAAAAAGATTCTAACTTTTTAAAACTAATCTTTTTTCACCGTGCAAAAAGAAATAACTACTTCTTAGAATGCTGAATTTTGATTGATCTACATTAAAATTATATCTTCGAAAAGAGAATTGTTGCGAAACTTACAATCTTAAAACTTTCATAAATAGAATAAAAGAGATTCTTTCGAGATATGAACCGATGGACTATGTCTCATGTGTTACAGGTTTATATAGACTTCAAGAAGTACAAGGGAGTCCGTGACGTACGAGTGAAGAAGGTGAGTGTCTGGAATTACCGCAATTGAGCGATCGATATTTTGCACAATCTTACTTTCTAATATTAATTGCTAATTGATCGTTCGTAGAGTCAATACGGCCTTGGCATAATGATTATCGAAGGGAAACATCTGGCTGTAGGACAAGGTATCTTCGTGTCCGACATTCAAGAAGGCAGTGCCGCAGAACAGGTAATTTTCGCTTGTACTGACGACCTTGTACTGAAACCTATTTTAAGCGGAACTCATATACTTTACAACGCGACCGATATTTCAGGCTGGGTTGCAAGTGGGCGACATGATCCTGGCCGTTAATCTGGATAGCTTGTTAGGTCGCACGTACGACGAGGTTCGTATTTTTCTCTCTTTCTCTTCTTTAAACAAGAAATTATCTTGCCAATCTAGGGGCTAAACATTTGAGCTATCTACATTCTACCTTCATTAATTTTTTTAGGCGACGGAGTTATTGAAGAAAGCGGAAGGTGTCGTTAAACTAGTGGTTTGCAATCCTAACGAAAATAAAGAACAGAAGGAGAAGGAAAAGCCTAAGGGTCAGGAACTTAAGGATGATTCTTCAATTTCGGTTGCACAGAAGACTCCGCAAAAGGGTGGGGCAGTGGGTGAGTTTAACGATTTAAGTCTCTATCTTTCATTTACGGGAAATCTCATAATAACGCACGCATTTCGTTCTCGAAACTATGATTTTGCACGATCTATTTAATGTTTGATGCTTGATCTTCCGCTACTGTAATATCAGGGACCGCCAAGGAAGCGGTGGAACCCGAAGAGAAGAAAGTCCGGCAGGATCCAAAGACATGCAAGATAGATGTCGGCAAGGAAATAACGATAGAATTTCAGAAGGAGAAGAATCAAGGTATAGGTTTCTACATCGCTGGTGGTTCTAACACTCCTTGTGTGAGTATATTTAATAATCTCTAAAAGTATTTTACCTATTCGCGTGACACGTAACGTCGCACCGTCTTTTGTAATTTTTGTTTTGTCGAATTGTGAGATATTCAGTTAAAATGTAGAATATGCAAATAGAATATATCGATGCCACTTAATTTCAAAAATATTAATGATTAATCAATATTAAACTTATTTAATCACTATTAAATAAAAGATAACACTTTTTCTAGAACGGGGTATTTGTTTTGGACGTATCTCCCGAAGGTGCAGCTGGGAAGGATGGTCGATTACAGCCAGGCGATCAGATTCTCAGCATAGGCAGCGATAGCTTTCTGGAGATAGAGCACGACAAAGCTCGCGAGACAGTCCTGAAGCAAGCTCCTGGGACTGTACGTAGCATTTGTACTCTGTTAAATGACTGTCCTCGTTTTATGAAACGAGAAAAAGATATGAGACAGTCTTGCAATGTAATAAGCGGCGCTAGGACTGTCACTATGTTCTAATATTTTCTCGACGAGACCTCGTTCGGTCGATTGAGCGTGCGTGACGCGATTTCGTTGTTTACAGATCACGATGACGGTGTTGCGCCACGAGAAACCAACCGAGGAATACGAGGTCGAGATACAGAAGAAAAGCGGCAAAGGAGCTGGTCTCTGTTTTGCCGCGTTCTGGAGCAACAAGGGAGTCTACGTGAAGGAACTAGTGAGTCTGATTCTATAATTCTATCAGCGTAAGCGACGGTTCACGCTCACCGCGCGTTCTATTGATTTCTACCTACAGACAGCGGGCGGTCAGGCCATCGAAACCGGCAAGATCTGCAAAGGTGATCAACTCGTAGCGATCGGTGGATTGGACGTTCGCGACGCTTCCCTGGACGACATCGCCTTTCACATGAAGATATCAAATCCGCTGCAAATGAAGCTAGCTAGGTACCATTCCGCCAAACAATGACAGGTAAGCTCGGATGTCAGCTTTACGGAATATTACGGGAATAACTGCTTAAAAAACTGTTTAAGCGTAAAAATTTGAAAGGATCGATTTATTTTTCTGATTTAAATCTTTAATCAAGGCAAGAATCATGATATTCCACGGTAGTATTGGCAAATTATCTTTCAGGGTTCTGCGGGCGGAACTCTCAGCGTGTGTCCCGACGTACGAAGAAGCGCCTGCAGACACCATGGATTCTAGTGTGATATACATAGGTAAAATAACGCCTCGATAACCGTGTGAGTACCTTTGTTACGAGAGCCGCGTACAGCAGAGTGGCGCGGCTCGTTCTATTATTTACACGCCAGCGTCGCCAATCGATCTTGCCGTTCGAGCTCACGGACTCGCGTGCGACCCGAGACGTGAGACAGAGAGAAAGAGAGAGACAGAAGTAGAACGAAAAGGACAGAGCACTGCACATACACACAGAGCGCGATGACTCACAAAAGTTCACATCAATCCGAATCCGGGAGCCGGCGGAGGAGAGAATTTTTTGTAAACAGCTTATAGAGGGTACCAGATCAAGTGAAATCCCGTCGACGCGCAAGTCGATCGAGTCCGTAAACAATTCCGTCTGCCGATGTTCGCCCTCGTGCAAGTAGCCGATACGAAATATCTTATATACATACACACACTTTATTATAATTATATAGCGACGTAATGCGTTTATCGCCGAGACGAGAGTTCAATAACGGCGAAGTTGAGGGTTCGTTTCGTTCGGCATAGGAGGCTGCAGGACAGATAAATCAATAATAATCGGCGAGTCTCACGAAGGGGGAAAGCTGCGGGATCGTCCAGATCTGGTCTTTTCTCTTCGGATTACGCCGTTCCCCTCGTATTCCCGATACAAAATCGAATCCGCTTGTACATTTCGTACACTTAGGGCAAAGACAAAGATAGTAGAACCGATTGTAGCGCGCGTTTTCTCGATAAGCGAAATATTTTCCCTCATTCTTTTTTCTTTTTACGATAAGACTCTAGTCCAGCCCGAGATCGACGTTTCGGCGTTTCTCGCCTTCATTATCACTCTCGCCCGCGTCGCCGCCGTTCCCGCCACCGTAGCGTTACTATTGTCGTATATTGTATTTTTTAATATTAATAAGAAGCACACGCGGGACGATGTACGAGCCGCGTCGGAAATGTACGGGAAAACTTCAGTTGGTGTGCATATATATCGATCGTTGTGAAAAGTTCTTCTCATCTGTCCAAGCTTGCTATTAAAGTAACGTCAATTTGGTAAAACTCGTAAGTAGACTTTTACGTAAGGCACAGCTTAATTTACAAATCAATAAAAGCGGAATAAACGCGTTATCGAATTACTGTACCGATAAATGGATTTTTATTCTTAAACGACATTCGCGCGAACTTTGCGTAACTCGCGCGCGGATATCGTTCGAGGCGGCTTGTACGTCGGTGTAAAATACCAATCAGTGTAGAATATCGCCTAAAGGACATTAGAGATAAGGCAAGGAGAGGCACACACATCCTTCGAGCAGACCGACGAAACACTCTAAGCGGTCGCGTCGAATGTCGAAACGTCGATCGAGAGGATCATTTAGCTGTAAGTGCTTGGAGACGCGCGTTCGAGTTCATGTCCGACGCGATCTCGCCGTACAATCGAGGTGTTTCTCAGCACCAAAATGGATGGCGGATATCATCCCGAGTGTTCAAGCGTTTCTTTATGCTCTGACCGCCATCAGCACGGCAGGTGACGCGTCGAAAAGCTAGACTGGCTTGTTGAGTACACATAGATAAATTAAATCCTACCGTGTAACTAGTCCTTATAACATATAGCTTAGAGATTTTCAAACAGAGAAAGAAAAAACAAATACAGAAAGAGAAATTATATATATATATATAAATAAATAAGTAAATATATGAATAATAATGTAAAATAGAATCTATAATAGGAATCGCGGAACATGTTAATTTAACGAGTCGCCCGTATCTGTCATCGCGTGAGTGGTTGCACGTTCTTAAAGAACGTTTTGCATTTGAATCTCGTATAGTTTATCGTAGCGAGACGTTCATAAAGGACGTCGATTCTGTCTCTGGCCGGTGGCTCGAAGATGAGTAATGTCATTAAAATTGTTAGTTGTACGATCATTATTATTATATATATATATATATTATATAGTATATTATGACGAGTTGTATAAAGAATTAATTATTGTGTATTGTACGATGCGTTATCGTATTAAAGTTTCGGACAGCAGAGAAATAGAGGGACTTTGAAAATCGGAAAGCGAACTATGTTCAAAATAACGATCAATATTGATCAGTAATTATTATTATTCATTAATACGTATTAAGGATACGTATAAAGCACGTTACTCCTCAAATTTATCCATAGTAATTTATACAAACGTGCGAAACTGTTTCTTTACTCTCTAAATCTGAATCAGTGAATAGTCACTGATATTAGTGTAAAGTATGTCACTTTTCGTGAATCAGGCATACTTTATACACTGATATCAGTCACTAGGTATTCACTGATTCAGATTTAGAGAGTACGTTTGTGTTTTATATCGATACGCTTTAATGTAAAGTTCCCTTTTAATTTTAATGACTTTATTTTCTTCTCATTCTTACTACGTGACCTGTCAATCTACATTTCTTATTGTATCATTATGCGTATGTTATTTATTATAGCTATAGAATCTTATTCGTTCAAAGTGCACTTCGTATTTCTTGTTTACACCGCTTTTTAAAATTCCACGAAATCAATTAAAATACGACGATAATTGTCGCGTTTCTACGATGTTACAAAGATATCTCGACGCTCGGTAGTCACTCGGGCTATCGTCGTTCGTGCCTCTATCGGCGCGTTCTTAGAGAATTTTACCAGAGGCATAGAATATAAGTACGTCTAGCGTTAGCTGTGCGGAGAAACCGAGGCGAACATCCATCGCGAGAATCGCTGATTCGTATTTCACGTCGTCGAGTTCGAAGTTGCGTCTCATTACCGCGAATATTCAATATCTTGTTGACGACGCGCGAGAGCGGGGAAGATATCTTTGATGCCTCTCAGCATCAAGAAGATTACATCACAGAAAACTCCCTGCCGTCGGCGAAAACGCGACCCGTTCCGGGAATACGCCGACAATACGATCTCGCCGTTGTGTTTTCAATTAGCGGGCAATAATGATTGCAGCGGTGTCATCCGAGCGAAGAAATTCCATCCGCGACTTCAATTTCGCTGTCGTTTGTGGGAAGGTCGAGACATTCCGCGATCTTTTTCACGTTAAATCGACTTTTCCTCGAATTATCCTGGCACGCGATTACACTGCGTAGTAAAGACGCGACTTCGAAGACGACTCGACGCGAATGCAAGATTATCTCAATATTATGTATTCTCCATAGTTACAGTTCTGTTCACATATGCATTTATTGTACGATTATTGATAGCGTTATTGCACACGAGCGGGGCGATTGTAAAATGGCTTGAGGACAATCCGCGGACGGTGAATCGGATTCGGAACCTGAACGTTCCGCAAGGAAGTGAGACAGACGAGGGTGATAAAAAGATATCTCGCGTAGCTCTCTCATGGATCTTAGACACATTGGAAAATCCGATGCCATTTTACAACCAACGGCTCACGATTATTATTCTGATTATTGTTATCATGATTATTACAGTCGACGTTCATGATCATTGTAGCGCGGCACTACTGAGAGTAAGAAAAAAACTGATTATTATAGAATAAGTATAAACGGGGAGGGGGGGGAGGAGAGAGACGGAGATCTATTAAAAGCATTAATTGCAACGTTGTAGTAAATGATGTTTGTTATTGTTGCATAAGTAATCTCTTTACGCTACTTTTACCTCTTATATATTATCTTGTTAACGACCGCGGCATATTAAGGTAAGTAAAGCAAAAGTCTTATTATACAATTTTCGTGATATAAAGAAGATATTTCTTTGTCACAAATCTCTTTTTCTAAATAGTGTCTACTTATCATAAACTACATATGAAAATCGTGCAGCATGTAATAAAAAATTATTCTTAAATCTCTTTCAATGCTTTCGAACACCGTGATTAACGATTAGAAACGTGTTTCGGAATGTAATTCCTATACGTTGTTCAGTATATACATATTAAAACAACTAAAATCTGCGTTTTGTTGTAACATTTTGCTTGTAGAAATTTTATTTTGAATTTTCAAGCCATAATCGAGAGGAATTTCACGGTGAACGTGGAAAACTCGTTTTGAGAATTGTTCTGAAATAAATTTTATTTCTCGCCCTGCGTCTAAATGCAATTCAAACCCATTCGAGATCGAATATCGATCCGCGGTGGGGCGTCGATGTGTTTTGTGAATGACGCGAAATCTCGGCGGCATCATTACGTGCCTTATTTTCGATTAATTAATCGTGCATTATCGTGCGCTCGTAACCCACTTCCGCGATAAACGGTTTCTTTAGTCTACTTAGAGTACGTTCTTGAGGTAGCTAAGAAAAGTAACGAAAATGAATTAGAGTCTTCGTCACGTCGCGTGGCGTTTCCTCGCTCGAACGCGTCTCGGGCGCGTTTACTAATTAATATCACGATTACTTGCGCTCGCGCGCGTGTAATCGCACGCTTGTTAAATATCGGACCCTCGTTTGTCCTCGCGCGAGACGATTTCACTCACGGACCGCGAAAGCGAGGCGATTTTACGTTTTCGCGGCGTATCGGTAATCTCCCGAGAGTTATTTGTGGAGCATCTTAATTTCACAATATTTAACGGGAGTTATGTTGAAAGTTCTATAACTTTTGCCTAAATCACACGGGAGAGAAAATTAATTGAGCAGCGACAGTTATCTGGTGCGTGAAGTACGAATTGGGAAAGACAAGAAAATCTGCGGTCGCCCGTACGTCTTCCATCGGGCGAAATGGAGCGACGCGGGCTGGCTTGATTCCTTCGTGAAGCGTGAAATTTTTCGCGCCAGCAAGAAGAGCTCATCGCGCGAGCGAGCGAGCGGGCGCTTCGGAAATCGAACTTGACCCTGAAAGTTTCGCTGTTCGCTTTGACAATCGGATGTCAAGAGAGAAAGGCGAAAAGCCGGCATGTGAGAATATTCGATGCGCGAGTTGGCGTCAATTTGTTCGTCGTGGTCATCGACGCGCTGTGACGTCCAGCTTTTACTTCAAAGTGACACGCTTTTCGCGCATGTTCGCAACAGTTAACCCGAAACCTAACGGTGTATCCTTTAAAGCGACTTTTTCACCAATAATAATATTAATAATAATAATAAATATCTGAGAGAAAAAGACTTAATCAACTAATTAAAATTTCTATTTTCAAGACTTGGCAAAAGATCCAGTTCAGTCCTGCTTTCCACAGGGATGGTGATCTGAATTTAGATCTTTTTGCTTTTTCCCCCTTTCTTCAGCGTGAAAAATATGAAATTTTATTCCATGAGAAATTAATCGAATCTAATTCCAATAACGTCAGGGATAACTGGACGAATTTAACAAAAAAGTGAAAAATTTAATATGATAATAATAACTTGTATGTAATATATAACATAATATATATAATATATATTATACTGTATTAAAAAATTATATTATTATATATTATGTTACATATTTTTTACATTTATAATAACACAAATATTCATTTTTCTTGAAAAAATATTTCTAATGCAAATGAGATAATATTACACGATATACATGTTCTCTTTTTTAATTTTATTCTACTCCTTAATAAAGTTATTACTTCGCTTTTACTTTTCTTCAGATACTCGTTGCGCCATCACGTTCAAAAAAACACGCAAACATGGGCGTGTGTATGATGTACGGGTGTAAACTCATTGTATCGAGGTCAAATCAGTGAGTTCCCAAACTCAAATGATTATGCGGTCATCCCTGCGGGTTCCCGAGAATATATTCCAGTACGAAGTTAAGGAAAGACACGAAAGACACACATTTCTCTCCAATTCTCTCCTGTCCAACTTTGTATCGCGACGTGTTCTCGTATCACAACATCCGACGATTAAATTCATATTCAAACATCCCTCCCGCAAATCGCGTTCTTTTAACATCGAGAAGTTAGCCATTGACCTTGCGCGCCTGAATAAGCGACGCACTTCGGTTCGTTACACCCACGCGTCGCGACAACTTCTCAGCCAGGCGCAAATTTGTCTGCGTAATTTGTGGGAAAACAATCCGTTCAACGCGATGGAGTCGTTGTTTGATTTGTGCGTGAGCGACATAAACGATATGCTGCCGCATATGAAGAACCGATTAATGTCGGGAAACGCGCAGGTATATGTACAAGAGAAAACCTATATTCACGACTATATGCGCCGCGCGTTTCACCGTGCCGCTCGATCCTCGTTTCGCGTTTACGCTGACGAGAGCAAATATTTGTAACAATCAGACTACAAGAGAGATCGAATATCGAGAAAAATATTGTACATTTTATATACATAGTAATATATATATTTCTTTTTCCGGGAAAGTTGCCTCCGACTTCAACGCTGGCGCGAGCAACGTTCCCTCGACTTCTTACTCTTACTCTTCCTCTTACTCTTCCTCTTAATAAAGTATATAACTTTCTTCTTAATTAAGACATAATTTCGCTGAGTTTAATCATCAGTGCCGCGAACACGCGAGAAAGGACCAAAGGGTCGCGTTTTATTAATCTGAACGAGCCTGAGGATCCCGTTACGACTCGGCTCGCGTGCATTCGGTATGAACTCAGCGAAATTACAGCGGTATTCATCACCTGTAACGCGAACGCGTAACGCACGAATCGAGGACGATCGAGCGGAAATGGAGCGGAAAGAAGTGAAAACGAGTCAGTATCGGCCCGAATCGGCATCTGAAACGTCAGCAGCTTCCCCTCCGCGTCAAAATGTATAGTTCTTATTATAATTTTATTTTCGATTCTGCGCGATGAAATTAGGTCTGGGTCGTAGAAAAGATCCTGATGTTCCTGAGGGATACGAGGGAATCTGAGAGAGGCGTCGTCGTGGGACAGCTCGTCAGATTCGACATGATATCCACCATATGTGACGTCATGCAGACGTCGGATGAAGATTTCATCAAGTACGCAACTCCTTTCTTACGCTACGAAGAATTCAACGATTTAGTTATTTGCAAAATTCGAGATTTCTTACATCCCCACCCACGTTTCACGATTGAAAGATATCTTTATCTATTTTCTTCGCAGAGTCGTCCTCGAGTGTTTCGAGATTCTGAGCGCCCACAAAGAATTCTATGAGAATCAAGCGGCTATAATAGCTATACAGACAATGTTGAGACTCAGTTACTGTGTAAATAAATCACTCAAAGACTCAGCGCTGTTTGAGAGACTTATTCAGAGCGTCTCCGGTGTACTTGTTAGGTAATATTCTTCTCACCGTTGTTCACTATGAAAACATAACGCAATCTCTTCAGTATTATCCTCTATATATTTATCATTGAATTAATTATATATTATAATATATAATTTAATATAAATTAATGTATTATACATTATTTATCAATTATATTGCTTATTCATTATATCTATTATCTATACATTTATAAATACTATTTATTATCTATACACTTAACAATTATCTATATCTCCATGTAAATTTGTTAATATATACCGATGATTTTAACTATTATTAAATACTTTGCTAAAGCGATTACAATTATTATAGTAAAATTCCAACATTTATCATAATGACTTTTAGATCGCTAAAATTAGATGTGAGCTTCGACACGGACTGTATTCTGCAGCAAATTGTACTTTTCGTGAAGAATCTGAATGTCGAAGATTTGCAGAAGAATAAGCTAAAATTTGCGGCTGTCACGATGTTAAATGTCGTCCTGCAGAAACAAGCAGTTTTTGATAATAGTACTGATGAGGAGATTATCGACGTCTGTCACAATGTGTTAAAGTCAATGACAAAAATTGTCAAATGCAGCGACGACGACAACGCGATTTTATTCGCCGCTGATTCATTGTGCAGTACTTGCGCTAGCAGTTCTCGGTGGGATATTCGTCAATTACCTACTTTTTCTCAGTGTCGATATCGAAACCATTTTTGTTACAAACATTTCCCGTTTGACAGATTCTGTTTCATGCAAGATTCGAGGGAAAAGAATCAGATCGAGCTTAAGATTCGCGAGAAGAAAGACGATTTGGAAATTTGCGTGTACGATACGATGATGGATATACTTATACCATACATTAAAGTACGTTCATTAAAGAATATCGCATAATATAAATCTATTAATGATATACCGTAATGAATAAATAATAAACACATTTTTTTTTGGCAGGACGCGGACTTGTCTCGTCTCGACTTGATCGAGTTTTATAAAAATCTCATCTCTTGTCTAAACCACTTGTATCAGCTAAACAACTGTAATAAGGACAACTTGTCAAACCACTTGACTGCCAATGGTTATTTGAAGCGCTTCTTATATTTGACCGTACAGTTTTCGTAAGTTGCGCCATTTCTAATGCTGTATGACAATGATCAATAGAATTACGTTGCAATTGCCGAACGTGAATATATTCTGGTTTATAGATAAATATATCATTAATTGTTTTTTTAATAAACCAGTGAGGTACACAGTTATAAAAACAAGCTCGCAAGACATTTAATGATTTAAATATTTTAAATATCTTTCCTCAAATATCTTCGAACTTTCGTGTATTAAAGAAAATCTATTCATTTTTAGTCTAATGTTTCAATGCATATTGAATTTGTTAGGAATTTCTTCATTATTTCTTGCGAGATAATTTTAATGCTTTTAATTGTAATTTCCTTAACATTTATGTTATTTCTTTTATATCAGTTTTCAGAATTTTGTAATCTAAAGATATGTAGAGAGATCTATTGTTCTCACTTCATACACTATTCATAGCATTCTATGAAAATATTTAATAAAAATCGTTTCTAAAATCTGTAATATTACAGAGTAAATTGGGTGTATTATTATTACTGACGTTTGAGAATCTCTTATATTTCAAAGATGTATATTTAAACCACTGAACAACAGCATACATAAATCACGAAGTAACGTTTCACATTTCAGAGAGAATTTACGAAGGAGCACCTGCATATTACTATCATGGATTCTAGGTATTCTCGGTAAAACGGCATTCTCCATAGAAAGAGCAAAGTTTGCAAATATTTTGCATTTAGGTCTCCTTCAATTGCCGAAAGATTCGACAAAATGGGACGACGCCATAGCACACAAAAAAGATGGGACGGCCCTTATAATTCTGCTATACTATCATTTTCTTGGCACTCAAGAGTATGAAAACAATATTTTTTTTTTTTCGTATTATTTCTTGTTTCAATTCAAACATTATAATTTCTATTTCATTCTTCAGAAACGACGTGATATCCTTAGAATCGCTAATTGCTAGAATCATGCTACTCCCGAAGTCTGTGCCGATTTCAGTCACGATTTTAAAACCTCTGTGGCTGTTATTTGCTGTGAGTACATATTTACCTCGTACTTGTTTGCGCCATGCATTAATTGCGTTCGATTTCGCAGGTAACGTCTCTATCTCATCCGCGTCCTAATTTAGTATATCGTTATGAAAACGCGGTTAATCAAATGACGAGTATTTTACAACATTCAGAGATCAGCGAATTTTATACCCATCATATTGATCTTGTACGTTATTGTCTTAAATGTCCAAGCATTTCGCAAGACTTACTGAACCGAGTTTTAAATTTGTGGCTGATAGAGTCCGATGGCGACATCAGGCCACTATCATTCAGTTGCGACAAAGTTGTTCATCATTTATTGGTAAGCGAAATATCTATTTTTTTTATTTCGAAAAAAGAAAGAAAAAAAGAGATAAAACATCAAACTAGTATTTTCGATTATACGTCTTCGTTAATGTTCCTTTGTTAATATTTTTAGGATAATTTTAAACGTTTCAATAAATTAAATATTAATATTTGATAACTTTAGTAAAAATAAGAGTTTTTTAAATATGAGAATAGTTAATAATTTTTATTTACTTGCACATAGTTCGTGATACGTGTCGGTTATCCCAAACCTATTGTTAATGTTGCTGTGAAAGGGCTTCATCATTTAATGCAAATGGTCAAAGATAATACACAGCTCGTGGACGAAGTCGCGGCTATTGTGTGGCGTTTGTTACCTAATATTCTTTCATCGTATTCATCAGATTATGGTTTGTCAAAATAATTCGATAAACCTTCTAAGAAAGATTATTGCGAGAAATACTCTAAGTTGATACTCTAATACTATTAAATTTTTAGAGAAATATATATAGATTAAAATATAGAGAAATATGTATCTATTTATTAAAATATATATTTAGAGAAATATATATTTTATTATTTATTTAAAATTAATATTAGGATCATATCTAATATTGCAATTAGAGAGTCTCGTTAATTTGCATTTGCAGTCGCGCATATAGAGACGGTTCTGGAATTAGCTAATACTATCCGACCATCGACGATACCGATAGCTTTCATAATATCCAGCGCCGATAATATTGTCAATATTATATTAAAGAAGAACACAGATACGAAATTCATGACTTTAATTTTAACACAAGCGTACATTTTGTTAGATACCGCTATGTCATGCAAGACATTTGAAGGTAAAATACAAATATTCGAATAAAAATAATGATGTTTTGCGTTTCTGCCATTTAAAAATATGTTTTAACTTCGATTACAGTGCTTCAAACATATGTAGATAATTTGTGGCTGTTGAAACAGCTATACAAATACGGATTTTCGAAAGAAAGATCACAATTATCCACCGCTAGTATAAAACTGCTCGCGTTTATTATTTATTGTCAAAAGAAATCGTCAGTAAAGGTATAATAATTATGAATTGTACGTGTAAAAATTTAAATAAAATTGTTGAATATCTTAAGACAAATTTGTTTTTCAGTGCAAAAAGCCATTGACGGTACAAATAAAAAACTTGCTTCAGCTGTTAACATACGCAAGAAAATCACCGAGCTGCATAGCAAACGGAATGCAATTTATATGCAAACTTTTAACATTAAATGATGATGGATTGGCCATCGTTTTGCAAGATATCACGATCGATATCGATAATAAGTATCTAATTAATCTTTATGAGGTTTACCATACCATTCATGCACAGGTTAGTTACATTTAAAACTATAGGAATAAAAAAGCATAAAAAACTTTCCTATCAAAAGATTTATTGTATTGTTTGTTTTAATAATTAGGGATATTAATTAAGAATTATGAATACTAAAATAATTAAATAAGAGATAACAATCAGTTAAGCATACTTAATTGCTATCTTTTTACAGACACACCCAATATCGCAAGATGTGGTATATCAAAGTTTAGTGGCTCTATTACACTTTTGTAATACTAAAGCAACTACGCTAATGCCTTATCTTTGCAGCATACTGAGTACTTGTGATCTCATTTTTAACATAAATACGCAACATCTATCGTGTCACTTCGTCGAATTCGTCGTTACGTGGCTTCATTATCGCAAAGCAAATTGTCACGATATACCTAAAGGATATATCTATAAAACACCCTTTGATGAAGTATTGGATAAACTTAAAGAATATTTAGTACTTCTTGATGACAAAGGAATGAAAGACGCTTATCTGAATTTGCAAAGAGCGGTAAGCGTTATTTTTTATTTCTGAATATTCTAAAATAAACGTTACACATATTCTAGTAAGATTAATATTTTAATTAGTTAAGATATCTGTTGTCTCTTATATCTTTTTTACATATTTTTGTTTTAGCTGTCACAGTTTAAGTGAAAAAATAACAACTTTATAGATCATATCACATTATATCGCAATACATGTAGTTTTTATTAAGGAGAAAGTTGTAAAACTGGATTTATATCTGGAATATCAAATTTTCTGTTAAATAGACGTAAGTTAATTTCTAAAAGAATTTGTGTTCTATATTTTGAAAAAATAGAGTTATATAACATTAAATTTACAACAATATTAAAATACTGTTATTTCTCATCCGCTATACAACAAAATTATTCGGCTAATATCTATGTAATTATATATTATGGGATATATACACAGATTAATCTCGTATTGTTTAAAAATGTTTTCTTTCAATAAAACAGTTTATTAATTTATTTTGTGTAGTATCATTATCAACATTGTTACAATCATAATACATGCATACAAAAATAGAAAAGATTCTTTTCGAATATTCAATTCCTCATGCCTTCTTTATCTCTATGGGACATGATATGCATTTTTAAACTTATTTCTTATGTGTATCTTTATTTTCATTTTTATGCTTCTGTGCGCATTCCATTATTCATATCATGCCGTCATGCCACAACATTAGCTTAATCCTTCCGAGGTAGCAAAGTCTAAGTAAGAAGCTTAAAACGATAAATCATTAACGCTGTAACGCGTGTACTTTGTCGTACGATGATTATTTCAAAAAGTACATCGATATTTCGCCATTAAAAGTTTCTACTCCTTGCGCCTCTTCTCGAGAGTGCAGCTTTTATTTTTACTGTCGACTGTTTCGACTTTATGAAGCAATTCTTGAAGGCATTTAATCTCACGTCGATCTCACTCTCCTTCAACTGAAACGTGTTGTGTTTGTCATTCGTCATCGTGCCGTCCGGACAAGTGAAATAGTATACCCAAGTATGTATCAGATATATAGAGCGACGTAGTCTACCAACGCAATTAACGGAATTGCGTGTATACCACATTTGATCGAATAAATAGATCTCTTTGTAATAGAATAGCGGCGAGCATTTCCGGTTACATCGTGTGTTGACAATGCCATCGCTTCTGCATTTTGCAGGAACAACTCTCTTCGCAAGCCTGCTGGAATTGTTCTCTGAGGAGAAGCTCCTACGGCAGTATTTACCAATCCTCGTAATTACGACATTAACTTAAAACTACTTCAGTTATTATAAATTCGTAAATGAAAAAGAACTTAACACTAACACTAAAAACAACTCGCTTTTAATTACTCCATGTTATAAATGTTTAAATAAATAAATAAATTGTAGCACGCTGCGTTAATTACTTCGTCACAAAATAAACACTTCATGCTTAATTTTTAATTTAATTAAATAATAGGATTTGCGTGTAAAAACAAACCATGAGATAGCTCTTAACTGCTTATACCTGAAAAATTGGAATATCAAGCCGGATTAGCCAACGTTGCTGTCCAAACTATCACCCCCGAGCGAGGGTGTTCCCCATAACCTGCGTCAACGTTTCACACGTATTACGTTCCAGCTGTAGCTGGTCGTTAAGAAGAAATCCGATTAACTATATAGCGGACTTACTTTCTTGATGGTTTTCTTGCATGGATGCTCGAGGAATGTAAAGATCTTCACGAGGAATCCTCGTCCTTCTTAAAGGACCGAGGATCGGACTAAACGCGAATATCACCCCGATGCCATGTTGAACCGGCGATGATCGATCAATAGACGAGGATGGCGCTCGGTTTATTCTCTCTACCGAGTTTCTTGGTGAAAAATAAGAAATTTTCAGACTTACGCGGGTCGTAAGGAACGACCATTAATTTGTGCGAATATTTCATTAAAGCGTTTATTTTTTACGCATTCGATAAATGAGTAAATATAAGTTTCTCTTCCTTCAAGCATATTGTTGCGTTTGAAATAGATTCATTTTACTTTCTATTTACTTTCTTAGAATTTAACCATGCAATTCTGCATGTCGCTGGAGCTGCATAACTATAAACTTTCATTTTTCTCGAATAGCGCAAAATTATTCTGATATTTACTGTTCTCAGTAGTAATAAAACTTGATTTCAGATCGACGCTGACATAAAAAAAAACAAGATTTTATATTTATTGATATCTATATAACTAAAGATTAAGATAATAATATCCCTTGTCTTAAAAGAAGATACAAAAGACCTCCATAAAAGTAATAAAATTTAAATTTCTTCCCTTTTTAGGTAATCGCTTCTTTACTTAAAAACTTAAATATGCGTTGATAGAATTATGTGTTCGTAAATCTTTATATGTTCGTTGCAGCGCAACAATATATTAAGTAACTAATCCAACTATGATAAATCTCAAGAAAACGTGGGAGTTGCCGGCATGTGAAACTTCAGTTCCTAATGTACGATTTAATAAAGTTTTCCTCAGAAAGTTTTTCTTAAGAAGAGCGACCAAAAAATAAAAGGACTTTTTAATGCAATTCGCGCAACTAGAATTTTACACGGCTTAATAGCGGCAATATCTTTCTCTTAAAAAAAAAAAAAATAAGAAGTTACACACTCATGTTTATAATTAATTCTGTTAATAAATTCAGCTAAAAATCAATTTTGCAATGTGACATATATTTACATAATATAGTTACGTAACATATTGACATTATATAGTTACATAAATGGATCACGAGAATAAATATATAGTATTTTCGTAACGTAATCTTGATATTTAAATTTGGTTTCTCGCAATTCAATAATCTTGAAATAAATGTAATAGTAATATACATTAATAAATGCCCAATTCTTTTGTGAATCGCGAACGTTTTTATGTCAGTAAGAAGAGCTCGAGCGAATGTTTTGCAAATCAAATTTGACCCTAAAAGTATCACTGGTCGTTTTGACAATCGGATATCAAGAGAGAACAGCGGAAAGCTGCGTGTGAATACCAGAAGCGTGAGTTGGTGTCAATTTGTTCATCGTGATCATCGACACGCTGGACATCCAAGCTTTTGCTTCAAAGTGATACGCTTTTCCCGGATATTCGCAACAGTTAACCCGAAACTTGGTGGTGTATCTTGTAACAAGTACATTTCACAAGCGCTTTTCATCGTCTCTGCGACTGTAATTCCTCGTTTACAATTAAAATGCGTAATTTAAATTGTGAAGAGTTGCATAAATGACAGTTAAATACTTCCACTGAGCATAATTAAAAATTTTCGGCTTATATGATATTCCGTTCTACATCTATTTTTTACCGTAATATAATTTTATGCGCACCTCTTCAGCGTTTAGTTTAGAATTGTAGATTTCTTATAAAATTTAATTACGGCGTTTAAATAAACACTAAACATACAATATTGCTCTCTTTAAGCTCTTTTTTATTAAAGAACTTCTTATCTTCTTCAACCGAGTATTTAATTTATTCATGTCGATAAGATGGGCAAGACTCTGAAATGAGTCAGTATGCAGATCCGTTAGATAAATGGTGTAAAAGCTAACTCTATGGGTTGTTTTGACGTGAATATAAGACCCGTATTTATAACGTTTCTGCTGAGAAACTCAGCTAAGACCAATTTTAAGACATGATATGTCTCGACAGAGGGATATTGAGAATCAATTTAATATCCATGACATTATATGACATTAATTTGGAGAAAACATATTTTAAACAAGTACATTAATATTAATTATCCTTCTTTTAATCAGAATCGAATATAAATAATTAAGCTTCTCTGATAAATAATCTTAATTTTATGCTATGATAAAAGTTAATGACTGAACTGTTTGCGGCTCAAAATATCGACCTACATTCTAAGTACACATCTCATCCGATACGTCCTTGAGGCGAGATTCGAAAAGTAATAGGAGGTTATAAAAATACTAAGTTAAGACTATAAAAATACGAAGGTAAATCGGGTTTCATTCGCGCGCGCGAAATCGCGGCGTGAATTATTGCACGTTTATCTATTTCTTTTTTTTTCAGTCGGCCAACGATTATGACACGAAATCGACTCATAATTTGTAACGCTCTCTTAAGTGAAAATCATGGTGCGCTCGAACGCGATTTACGACCGTTTGCGAATCATTCGTCGGCGAACCGCGAGGTTCACGCCGGAACAGATCGGCACTGTAACACCATAAGCCCAGCTTAATTATGTTGCACCGCAACCGTGCACTTTGGCGCACGAAACGGCGGTTACGACGGCCGGCCAGCGCGGCGGTCGGGGCCGGTTACGAGGAGCAACGGCCCGTGGAATATAGTTCGGCCGGTTTTGCCCTTTCCCTCTGCAAGCCCCGTTTCACGCGTGCCGCGATCCGAGCCTGCGAACCGGTCGTCTTGAACCGGAAACGAAAATGAACGCGTTTTACCGGATAATCACGTACCTCGGTGTTGCCCAATAAAACGAGATTGGATAGCGGATGAAATCCGATGAGAAACACTCTACGTTAATTTTAGCATTGCGGCTAAAGTGCAGCAATAAAATATTCTCGATAAAGATATCGTACCGGTGTGACGTGGGCGATTTTTTTCCCGCGCGAAAGTAATTCGTACATTTTCTCCGGGGATAGCTATATGGGTCTTAAATGATGCGTTCACTAATAGCAATCATGACGTGGGGAAAAGGAAAATTACGGAAACTGTAAAATCTCGCACGAGTCTTTAAGTCTCATTATACTCGTCGGCAATTGAAGACATAAATATAATTTCACGTACCGAAAGTAAAAATCTTAGAGAAAGCTAGCTTCTAAATAATATTTATCAAGTAAAAAGTACAAAAGGAAACTGCTACTCTCTTTTATTTTTGGCATCGTGGACGACGTAGCGAACTGCATCAATTCTTTCCGATACCATTGATCTTATACCAAATGACCTTTTTGTGAAAAAAAATCAGCGTTGTACAGCATTTGCAATATATTCTTTGTCTTCCAATTTTTCGATTTGTAAATAAAAAGTTTTGGACGTCGCCGGTCGCCGTTTCCTTCGGAATAGCGGAAAGACAAGAAACCGCTCGGCTGCGCTCGAAAAGTAGGGGAAGGTCACTGGCATCGTAAAAATGCAGAGGACGAGGTGCCGACGTTCCGGTGCCCTGGGGAACGATACAATTATATATCTCCTCCTCCGTATAAAAAGGAGCAAAAAAGCAGATGTCGATTATAGCACGGACAAGTTTTGCGAAACGAACGTAACGGCACGGACTACTTCCACTACAGATGCATGTGCACGCGTGTTTGTATGTGTGTATGCGCGTGCTGCGCGTATTCGCATTCCGAACTTTCTTAAGCAATTATGTCATAACACACGTGCCCCCCTTCTCGCATCTCTACCTCGCGGTCTATGCAATCTGTCCTTCCTCGTCCACGACGTCTCCGTCCTCATGCTCGCAGGACGAGATCGTAGACGCTCTCCGGCTATCACGTCGTCACTTGGCTAAGAATCGAATTTCACGCTAATGATTATAAAGTGTCTGCCATTTGCGGCTGCATATGCGACGTCCCAGACGAGAGAAGCGCCGCTTTTACGTTATTACTCGTCTGAAAAGAAACGCGTAAATTGCGAGATGTTCTTGAATTGAAGAGCGCGCATAATTCGTACGCTTAATTAAGCGTAACAAAATGAAATGCACATAAAATTGCATATCTAACAACAAGATGAATGAAATTACAGGACTCTGCGCGTGTCTGCGTGCCTCAAAGGCTTTTCATCAACTTCATTTTATTTGTAAATCGAAAAATTAAAGAGGAAAAGATATATTGTAAATATTATATCTAGAATTTCTTTTTCATACAAAAAAAACCTTTATAAAATTAATAATATCGGGAAACGGCTGTTCGCAAAACATCCGATGCCATAGATGTAAAAAAAGAGAATATTTTCGTACTTTTTATTAAAAAAATATCATTTAGAGATTAACTTTCTCCAAGATGTTTACTTTGGGTACGTTTGCATCATGTACGAAATTACAGACTACGCATTTTGGCGTCACGCGATTGCGCCAATGACGCCGAATTTTAATGAACGTTTCTGGATTCGCGAGAAAATGCGAATCCCAGGCTCGCCTATGATATCCATCTTCTATTGCGTCAACGCTTCATGCACCAACAAGAACGAGAGCCTGGTTATTACATAAATTTCACGGGGGACCACGCTAATTAACCTACTGCTATTGCTCAAAAGCCGACCGACGCCGATAGCAGACGCGCTAACAATGCGAGTTGGTTACATGACCGTTTGTCGAATATGAGTCTGCCCCGCTGGCTTCCTTATCCACTATCTTTGAAACACTCGCAACTTGCGCGCCGTTACGAACGGTTTATGAGCGACGGAAGAGTCTTCTCTACGACTTTCCGCGGCAGTATCCGCGTCCACTAGCACCTCGCAGTTTAATTTACGATAATTATCTTGTGACATTCAAAGAATCGCCACTCGCAAGAGAGAATCGAATTTTCGCGATAACGCACTTCTGTCGACCTCTTTTTATTACGCTCTTTTTTTTATTACGCACATTTATTTCCAACGATATTCTTTACGATCGCTTCCTCTCTCTCTCTCTCTGTGCCTCCTTTCTCGCTTTTACAAAAGTCATAAGATACTTTCGCATGCTATTTGAAGTTGACACGTATGTTAGAAGAAAGGGCAATCTCTTTGATGCAAGATTCAACTAATTCGAAGTCGAAAATTCCTGCATGGCATGTACGCGGTTACAAGTCTTGTAATTGTAAAAGAGTAAATTAACCGCGCGACTCGGTTGGTTTCCCCAAGTTATCTTGTTGAAATTTCTGCAGAATATTCAATGTCCCTTCCGCTTTGCGGAATTATATCAAAATAATAGTAGCCGGCGCAGCGTGTAACGACAGCAACTTTGGCAAATCCAATACGTGGATGTAGTTTCAGTTGCGAAGCGGCAACTTCGCTGTTAATTTTGAAATGAAAATATCTGAACATTAACATGACGATAAACTAGTTTCGTGACAAAATATAACATATAGAAAGATAGAATGAACCGCTAATTGAGAAGCCCACTACGTATTGCAATCTCTTCCCACTAAAGTAAAAACACAAAAATATGAGAAATAAATAATGAAATAAAAGAAAAAAAAGCTAAATAATTTTCAGATTAAGAAGTAATGCTGTATCATCTTCTCGAAAATTTTGCTTTCTCCCAATATCCCGTTAAACGCTGTAACGCGCCGAAAGAAACTGAACACGGAAAATCGAGATCGCAATGTTCACCGAACGAAATCAGCATTCCTTAATCCTTTACAGAAATGGTACGCCGCGGAATTCGTTACCATTAATTGTCGCAAATTAACGAGGCCGCGAGGCTGCGCGCCGCATGGCGCTCTCGTTATCGGGGAAAAATTCGTGAGTCCAGCTCACGGTGAACGGACGCGGCGATCTTCGCGTGGATGTTTAAATTTAGATAGTTCCGCGTAACGCACGCGTGGACGCGAGATCGCGTTTACCGGCGCGCAGTTTAACATCACGCGTAACTTTCCACGAGGTGGAAAGCACGTCGGCGCGATCGGCGGGGTCTTTTTTTCGTAGCGAGTAATAGTGAAGTCGATTCACGGAATAAGAAGGGTCAGGCGAAGCCTACTTTCTTCCACTGAATTGTCGCGCGCTCGTGGGGCGGGGGGAAGGGGAACTCCAGTTCGGCTTTATGGTGGAAACCTCGCGAAAGAGAGAGAGAAAGAAAAGGCCTTCTTCTCGCCAGGCCGACGGTCAGCCAGTATGTGCTAGTCCCGCGTAGTAGTAAATGTGAGGCAGTAAAACGTAGCGGCTGGCGATCCTCTCACGATCGGTTCGGATCGGATCGGATCGCACCGCGCACTTTTGAGTCACGCGCGAGAGCGTAGTGAGTCGCAGACGGTTCGCCGATTGATAGATAACGCAACTGATCTAATTCATTGATCGTGGTGATCCCCGTGGATACTCGCCGTGAGAGCGTGTCCGACCAAGCCGGAGATTCGCACAAGTGAGTACGCAACGCTCATCACTGACAGTGATCCATGGTGGTGTATAAACGAGTAAATCATCACGTAGAAAACGTATAGACGTAAGAAAATTTCTTTTTCAAAAACTACCTACATGGTGATAAACGCGACGCGATAAAATTTTACAAATTACTCATCAAAACGCGGATAAAATACCGAGCTAGTTTCTCGTTTAACGGTCAGTTGTTAATTTCAAACTGGCGACCGCGCCGTCAATTTTTTTTATCTGATGGATACTGACATTTTGATAACGAAGAGAAGAGAAAATGGCACAGAGATTTATCGAGATCCGCCGCGCATTCATTGCATTATTATGAGCACGATGCAAATATTGGCTCGGGCCGTAATGTAATTATTGGAATATCCTTGAGCCTCGGAATACGCGTAGACATATTAAATCCTGGTAAGTAATGTATGTTTTGATAACATATATTATTTATAATCTTCAGATTAAACTTAATATTTCATTTTTAATAACGTTAAATTACATTTGACAACAAAATTCCACGTAACGATCCCGTATAATTTTTTATATATGAATACTTAAAAGCTTTATGCTGTAAAACATAATAAAAGAAATAACAAACTAATTTACAATATCTATATAATATTTTCAATATTTTCTTATTTCTGATATGGTTTCATGTAAATTATTACTAACTGCACAATATGATGATGATTGATGTGCATGCTTAATTATCAAAAAAATTATAGATATTCTGATTGCCACATTAACGTGCGTCGATTGTTCGGATCATGAACGACATAACCATTTTCAAATATTGGTATGCAAATCATGCTATGCGATATCCGTAGCAAGATGCGTGTATCTATAACCCAGTTTATTGATTCGTGACGATTCCGCGTATCTTCAAATCGACCGTTACTCACGGATCATAAATCAGGATAAAATTCGAATCGATGAATGTCGCGGTATTGGATGCATTTACCTGACGTGGCGTGAAATGTCTCACACAGATATTTGCTCTTGGATATACAACATATTATCCGCGTCAGTGTTAATGCGTTCATGTAGAAAATCAAAATACTTGTCACATAACTCCACTATCAGAAATGCGCTTGACGTTAATATACTACCGATATATTTAACATCATATAGGGAACATAATAGTTTATTACAGAATAGAATTTCAGGATTTCCCGAATTTCGTAACTCTTACACCTGCACCGGTCGGAATTTAATAATCGCATCGGTATAATGTACCCTGTACCAGTATATCATTTACCTCCGGGACAGTAGTTCCACAGAGAACTCGACGTATCTAATAAAAAATGAACGAGGCAAACTTGCTTTACTTTGTGTGAAGTTGTCACGCGTGTTGGATCAGCGAAACACAGGAGCAGGACCCGTAAACACGCGGAAACGCTTATAAAAAATTTACAGCCCCGGAATAAAAGATACAAGAACTATATAAACCATCGCGCTCAGAAGATGAGAACTGTCTGTTAAAAATTTCAGTTGTCGGCCAGGTCAGCAAGAGGACCTTAAAATAACGACCTAACATCACCTACGGTGACGCTTAAAATTTCGTCCCATTTTAAGAAAACATACAAATGCAAAATCGCCAGTCGGGATTATCGATCTTGGAAGTGTACGAAAAAGTATCTTCTCGTTTCCCGCCTGTCGTTAACGGTTTACAGTGACAGACGCGACGACACGCTTCACGTGTATACAACAATCGTCTCTTTTTTACAATCGTGCATGTAAGTCATTTATGGTCAGGCATATATCAAGAATGTATCGATCGTAATTCTGATATACACGCTCGCATCCCCGCTCGAGTCCACCTCTATTTACAGAAACCATGTATATCGCGGCCATTTATTCGGGGGTTGTGCGGAAGGGGATAGGCAGCTCCGACACGGTGGAAGAAAAATATGCTGAAATATACCGGGAAGCGCCGGCGAATGGATTCACTGCCCGCAGGCACGGCCGTTCGATAATGTTGCACTTTATATCGCAAATAATAGACGACGTCCGTGTGCACCGGAACCTTTGTTTTCCGCCTCCTCTACGTATGGTCATCTGGGTTACACATCCGAGTGTTATACATTTCGCGCTGCGTGTCGTTACGCGCACACCTGTTCGCGCCTCGTAAATATTTCATGGCGATGAAACGAGCCCCCGTGGATGACAACGTATTCTGAGGTCGTAAAGTGAGATCTATTTATGCAATCAGATCCAACGAGGAAGCTGCGTTTCACGTAGTCTTTCTTACGTGGAATTAAGAAAGAAAAATTACATCACGTAGTTCTTCTTACGTGGAATTAAGAATTGTTGCGCGCACGATCACATACCGTAATTATGAAGAATATGTATATATTTTTTTATATATTTCAATATATTTAACCAGAGAGAAAGATTTTGCTTCCCCTCATACGTTATGTCGAGGGCTCGCGGAAAATGGTCCTGCCATATTCCTTTTACGACGTTCACGATGCTACATATGTGTATATCTGATCTTATTCTGTACATTCTGGGCAAATATACTTCCGAGTCGATCGATTTCGAATAGAGATTGATTCATATGGAAACGTAACTCCATCAATCTTCCACTGATGCTGTCGTGAGCATCGTGGTTTTACACGATCGCCATGCTTTCTGCTGCCGCTGTTAGATTCGATTAATACGCGTCGACGTGTAGAACGCGTCGAAAGCCCGTCGCGCGATCGTAGAATCGAATTTCATCGACCAGGTCGTGACAAGTGGGTCAACGGACGTTTGTGAATTTTCGCTTGCACGGTCCGTAAGCGAGTCGCATATTCTGGATTCACCCGGGGGGTCACCAGGATCGCTAACGAATAATAAACTTTTTTGAGCCCGCCGGTCGGTAAAAGGTGCGTCAGCTTTTCACTACGCTATCACATTCGCTCGCCACGTCGGATAACGTATATCCCGGTGATGTCACGTACAACGTACGAACTGCCAACCCATGTAAAAAATACCGAAGGAAAGAGAGAAAGAAGAAAGAAAAAGGGAATGGTTCGACAAACGTTGGAAAAAAACAGATCGACTACCCAATGCAGTGCAATGTCGTCCTTCTCCCTCTTTCTCTCTCACACACACACACACACCACACACACATACACACACACAAAACGATACAAAATTTCTCTTCTGCTGAAAATAACACAGTTTTGCTTAGAATGTAGAATTAAACTTGTGAATTTCAAAAATTATATTAATTAACTTTATTATCACTGAGAGATGAATATATTAATTTAAATATTATTACACGTTCAGGACATATGTAACAAAGTATTTTAATGATCGTCTCAAACGTATTAATCATTTTAGAAAGAGTTGCTGACGTCTTTTGTAATATAAATTATTATATTGAAACTACTTAACTTAATGCGTCTTCAGATATATTCATTCAAAAAGCCTTATACAATATATATTATACAATAAAGCGTTTTTGATCAATCAATTAAGTAAAATCAATTTAACAATACAATTTCCCTAAAGGCGTTTAATACTTCCAGCTGGGATATACGCGATTCAGGAAAATTTTTAATTAAAATCGGTTTTCGCCCCAGGGAGTCCGATCCGTTGTATTTCGTGACTCTGATCATGGTAATTGGCGCGTTAGCCTGTAGGGATTTTGCGTCAGCAAATCATACTTCCACGTCGCAGACGAAAACGATTAGATCGTGCGCGAACAGATCTAATCGGGCGCGAACGCTATTATTCCGATTGCGATCGGATAATAATACGAGTTATCGCTTGCGTGAATGGAACGGCAATCACAAAAACCGGTCGGTCGATTCCTAATACGCGGAATACATCCCCATCACTTTCTTGCTCAACAGCAGGGTCATTAACCCCTTTTGTGCTCCGACGTGAATACCTTAAGAGAGTGTGCCACTTTGCGCGAATGATACAGTAAACAGTGCCATTAGAGCGCGTTTGAAATCATTAGTAAATCGACTGCACTTATCTAAATGATTTGTACAACATTTCGAGAGTTGCGCGGACAACGATGATATTGCTCGAAATCTCTGCATCCGATTTCCAATCTAACGATGATACAGCTGAACATAAATTGTATCCATCATTTGTCATGATGCATCGCTATTTCCTCGCTGTTAACGAGGGAAAATCTCCATGAAAATTAACGGTCGTCCCGAGGAGGCCATTAGCAAACGAAGCTGCATTTTACTATTTTAATGGGATTTCGAACTGTTATGATTACAGGAAGGCACTTTGCATCGCGCGATGCAAAATAAAGCATTTGAGGAAGATACGCGGGGAGAAACATGAAAACACACCGTTAATTTCTTTTTTTTTAGATTCTTTTTCGATCGTTGAAAAACTAACGAATAATTTGTCGCGGCAAACAAGAGAGAAATAGAGACCGAAAAAATACACATGTTTGTTGCCCGATATCACCGTGCTATTGAATGTCGCTTGGCGCTTGGCGCGATTGCGGCCCGCGAGCGTAACGTTCAATTTTCGCGATGTAAAATCACAACGCACAAACGAGCGAACGAAAGAACCAAGAAATAGGACGCCGTGAGAGCCGCGCGATTGTACCATCGAACCGGTCGTTCCGTTTCCTATGAGTTTCAAATAAACCGTCTCCGTTGAAGCGCTAATAACGACCGGACGGCGACGTACCGGAATCGATTGGGCATTATTCCACCGTGAATTCCAAATTCATGCGGCTTCGATTCGACCGAATTTAACGCCATTAGTCACCTAATAATACGTCTCTATTTCTCTCTCTCTCTCTCTCTCTCTCTCTCTCTCTCTCTCTCTCTCTCTCTTTCTCTCTCTCTCTCTCTTTCTCTCTCTCTCCTTCTCTGCGCCTCTCTTTTTGTCCGTCTTTGCACGCGAATTGATTTCCGGGCACTACTTTCTATTATTCGACCGCGGAATATTATCCCGTTTCCAACGAACGACGGGGAGAAAAGCAGAGGAGAAGAGAAGGAGAGTGAAAAGCAACAATTTCATTTC